TTTTCTGTGGTTTCCTTGGATCACTTAGGCAAATGCTGGGGCAGTAATATTCCACAGATAATCTTTCATTCTCTTCTGTCTTCATTTCGTCCGTCCCAACTTTCTCACCCGAACCACCACCCACCCATTCCCACGATTCCTGAAAGCAGGCTGAAGAGGGCCTTCCGGCGTAGTCCGGAGGGACTGCCCGCCCACCAGCATTACTGGCTGGTGGGAATGAAACACCAAAAATAAAAAATAATAAAAAGAAATCTTCAGTGAGTTGCTGCCGAGACTTCAAGGTATAATCTTCGCATCACATCTTATCGCATCAATATTTAAAAGTTTCCATATACTTCTTTAGTTTCTCTTAGTGTCTGAATCAAAATGAAGATGAGCTTTGCCATACAAGAAACGCCCGCTCATACCATAAACCTTTAAGATTGATTTTCTCACCTTTCAAAGTTTTGGATTCTCTTGATCGCTGTTGATGTATCGAACTCTTCGTTTACTATCGGAATTATTAATGAGAACCTAACAGGCCAGGTCTCCTCTGTTTTGGTGAATTAAGAGTTTGACGCTGGTCTTCTACTCAGTCGATGACTTCTTTCTGAATTTCTTCCTCAAAGTATTATCGTTGCGATAACTACATATCTTGTCAGTCGACTTGGACGACGAATTTGGTGTGTTAGTTTGTTCATTGAGGACTTTTAGCTTAACTTAGATTACTTTCTTCGAGTTGACGTATGTACCTCTCTTCTTCATAACGGTGGCAAGTATGGAATCAACTCTTGATTTTCCCATAGGTTTAATATAAATAAAAGTGTTTTTTTTCTTATTTGAATTATTAGTGATTAAAAACACCCCAAAAATTGTTTTACTAACACTTTCTGTAATTTTATATGTTGCGTAATGTGTCGTTTGCTGACAACCCTGAATAACCTTACTATAGCTATAATTTTGAGTACTTACCGCTTCATTGCCTGTTGTTTGATAAAGTCCATATCCAAAAACACTGACTACGAATGTGTTAATAATAAAACTGACCAGTAGAGCGATAGCGTTTTCTATAAAATTATACAGTCGAGCATCTTCGATCTTTTCGTGTTTATTTCTGTCTATGTCTCTGGATTTTACGAGGGCTGAGTGGAGATAGAAATTGTGCGGCATAATTACTGCACCCACAACCCCTACGGCTTGAAGCCAAACGGTGGAATCACAATTACTACACCAGGGCACAAACATTCCCTGGAGAACCTCTGACTGGTTGGGTCCAGCGATTACGTATTCATATCCGAATGAAATTCCCATAACGCTAATGAGAATTATGAAAAAGAACTCCAATATTCGTAAACCGAAGTTATCCAGCAACAAAAACGTTATGGTATCCACTATGGTGATCAAACAGCCTCCCCAAAGTGGAATTCTGAAGGAACATTGATAATTATCAAAATCAAAAATATAAAACATTGAGAAAACAACAAGTAGAATCAAAAACCGATAAATTTTAAAGGGTGTTTCGGGTAGGCCTTTAGGTCTTATCAGTTTTCGCTTGGCTTAATATCTTGGAACATCCTCTACTGATGCTGTGCTAGTCTTAAGGCCGTCGTCGGTTGGAGTTGCCTCCTAACGTTTCGCTTCGTTTGAACACAACCAAATCTGGAACCCGATCCTTTGGAACACTCGAATGGTACCGACCGACTTGCCAAGGAACTAATTGAAACGGAGGAAATCTCGTCCTCTACCCACAGGCATAAATACAATTTACGTAGGAGAAGTCGTCAGTTCACATCCAGCATCGGAGACGGAAAGATTTCTGAAGAAGCCCGCTACACGTGCAAGCAAAACGTTAAGAATCAACTCCAACTGATGACGGCCTTTAGACCCAAATCAGAACAGCATCAGCTCACCTACTGTACTTATAAAAGTTGAAAGCAGCAGTGAGAAACTTACACTCGGTTTGAAAGCATGTAAATGGCAATGGCAGTACCAATGATTTCTTGAATATCGGATCCGATAACTGCCACTTCCACCATTATCCATACTACAAATCTCGGTATTTTCCTATATTGGTAATAACAAATTTCAGCCAAGTGCATCCCACTCACAATACCTGCAATTAAAAATTTGGTACAAGAACCTAGTGTCATTTTTCTGCTTCTGCTTTTTATGGAGCATTGATGGAAAGATTCAGTCGTTTAAGCGACGCAAGTGAATAAGGCGTTCAAACTTTCGAAATAACCCGAATAACATTATCCACAATTAAGAGTCCTGATTTATTTATTTGCTTGTTTGAAGTAACTTTCTCGAAGTTCTGTAGAAATTGTGAGATGCGGATAACAATTTTGAAATCGTTCGTCTTCATCATCACGTGAAAGACAAAGTAGAAAATGGAGACTGCGGTGAACTATAAAAGAGGCCCATCGGCTCTATTCTATTTACATCAAAACCTTTTCCCTGTAAGCCGTGCTTCACCTATGTCTAATGTGTCTCGGCACAATCAATGCAGGAAACACGGGTCCACATGGAAACGATTTATAGGCAACAACGATGAGCCTCTCTTCTAGTGCAGCTACCAGCATGCTTGCTGACATTAAAAATCGTTCTTCAGATAACTTCAGAAGGTGCAAGGTGAACATCACCTGTAGAGATTTGCTACTAATTAAGTATACCTAACACAACATTAATCTCTCTATCGGTATTCTGTCGAAACTGCCTGAGGTGTGGCGTGCTGTTTAGAACTAAGGAATTCAAAATTTAAATGCGTGAAAACGTGATGTTCTGTTAAATATAATACCGGCTCATCACCTAGATAGCTCCACAGTGGGTTTAGTTTGAAGTCAATATACTTAAATCGATGAGAATCTTTTGTTCAAAATTGATGAACTCGCATTTAATAGCAAATCTTCACAGATGGTGATCATCACGACGAGTGTAGTTAACTAAAGTTATTTTAAAAAATAAAGAAATAAAACAAATCCCGGAGTTTTGGACTGAAACGATATTTACCTACCAAGAATTGGTTCAGATGTTAATTACAAAACTTATGACGAACAACACGGAAAATTCCTTTATAATGTGTATATCAAATAATATTAGAAATACCTAATTTGGCTGCTAAGGTTTGCATGAATAACCCCAGACATGTACTGATCAAAAGAATCCATAACAGTTTGTATTGTGCGATGCTACCAGACTGTAAATCGCTTTCGATATTTCCTGGATCCAAATATGCTATTGAAACTAAAAACCCTGGACCAGCGAACGCCAAAAGTTTACGAAAGCTGAACCCTGTCTGCCAAGTATTACATGATTATTGTATCTTTTGTCATTCTGTCGGACGAGCTTAATGGACTAATTCTAACTTAATATTTAATTATAAATTTTCTGATCGTTTATGTAGACCTAGATTAGATTACTGTTCGCGAATAGTTAAGGATGTGGGTTGTTCTAGTTTTAGGGAAATGCGATGATTAGCTCAGGATAGGAAAGAGTGGAGGTGCGTGTCCAACCAGTCTTAGGATTGACGATCTTATGATGATAATAAGTTTAGACCATTGCTTAGCATTCGGGAGGACGCCGGTTCGATTCCGGGTCCGTATGCCTTGATCCAAGTTTTTCTGTGCTTTACTTAGATCAGTTAGGCAAATGCTGAGGCAGTAATATTCAACAGATAATCTTTCATTCTTTTCTGTCTTCATTTCGTCCGTCTCATCTTTCTCACCCGAACCAGCACTCACCCATTCCCACGATTCCTGAAAGGCGGCTGAAGAAGGATTTCGACCCTTCCTACCGTTCGGAGGGACTGCCCCCCCCCACCAACACTAGTGACTGGTAGGAAGGAAAGATCCAAGATCCGAATTTTTCGAAAAAATCAGTCGAAGCGATAATAAATGGCTCGAGTTTTTATGGGGAAGTACTACCACCTCAAGGAAATTAACATATACAGAGAAATGATAAGGGGAAATCTATTAAAATAGAGGAGTCAAGATATGTAATGGGACAGAGGGAGATTCTGTGGAGGGACTGGTAAAGGGATTGAGTGTCAAGGTATTTAGAAGGAAGGAGGGAAATAAACGTTCTGGCAAATTTTAGGACGGGGAGTCAGTATAAGGGAGGTAAATTTAGGAAATAGGATAGGACAGAACGTTGAATATGGGATAGGGAGGTAGAATCTCTGAAGGATGTGAGGGTAGTAGACTTGTGAATAAGGATGTGGGTGGATCAAGCTGACTGAAAAAAGATTTAAAGAATGAAGAGTCGCCTTTGCTTTTGAACAGTGAAAGAAGTGTGGCAAGGGAAAGCTTAGTAATACTATCAACATAAATATTCACAGCAACACTCAGTATTATATCATAGAAAATAGCAAAAAAGTGCGCTTAGATTAGGATCATGTCGATCAAACGTTGCCATAAAGATAAATTGAAATATTTGACCGTAAATGAAACATTTTCTCTAATTCAAATATAACTGATTCCATTTAGGAAGTTTGACTTGAGGTAGTTTGACTAGATATGATGAAAACATCTTTTGCATGTCGTACTGTTTAATTATTAATTGTTTAATTAGAAGTTTAAGTGGTTCAAGAAGAGCTTTACTCAGTCTCCCCTTATTTTTAATTTCGAAATCGTTTTAAATTACTAAATCATTAAAATATTTTTATTCCAAGACAGAATGTCTAAAATGTAACATTCATTACAGACAGTTTGTATAGGTACGTCTTCAGTAGGTACTTTTTGCTGTCCTTAGTAGTAAATTAGAAATAAATAATAAATGATGCTTACAAATTCTGTTTCCGGTATTTTTATTTTCCTTCCGTGAAACGTGTCGGTAGTAACGAAAACACTCATTTTTCTGTTCTTGTTCTTTTCGTTATCAATTTCGCTCATTCCCTTGCAGGTAGATCCCGAACGGTATGTTCGCATACAAAGGCTAATAAATAACACTGACGATGAGATTATTTTACTTCGGTAAACATTTACTTTATTTGGGAACGTCTTTTATAATTGCACATTTATTTGTTATCTTGATGCGTGCTGTACGGGTCTCTTTATCAGCGTCACGTTCGGTTTAATAACTTTTGGTTTAAGATTACTATCAGAACAAACACTTTGCAACAATTTCACGACGAAGACTTGTTCTATTCTGAAATTTTTATTAGATTAGGTAGTCGATTGACTGGTTTGAAGATAAATGTACGGCATTGTATTCGGATTCAGTGGCGTATTCATTCTTTGCATTATTTTACGAATTACGTACGATGGGTGACATGGCATGAGATAATTAAAATGGCGGGTGGTAGCCATATTGCATTCAACCGAACGCTCTTTTAGAAATCCCAGTAGGTAATATTTAGATAATATATCATTTTAATTCTATTTCGGCTTGAATTTAAATAAAAGACAAAAGCCGACATTCTCTTTCCTTATCACTAACTGGTATAATCGCAGCACATTCTTCTGTGTTTCTAAATTCTCCTTTTTTAGTACGTTACAGTTTAACAATTTGCATACACTTTCTTCGTATTCTTTCAATTATCCCTTTAAGTAATATTGCAGCTTCAGAATATCGTTAATGCACAAATATTTATGTGAAGTTTTAGTCTTTTCATAAGACACCAATAACTAATCTAGTAAAGTAGTGAGATACTAGCTATTTTTAATTCATCCACATCACACCTACAGTACCTGCTATTATTTACTCTACTAAACAACTTCAGATCATTGACAAATCATTAAAATATTCTGATTTAAAATTGTAGCCAATATCAATGGTATGGATCCTTGGGGAACTCCCTACAAACCTTTAAATACCTACGAATAGGAGTGATGTAATTTCACTGACCAAGATCTATTTCATCATCATCACGTGTCATCAGTCCTAAGACACACGTACCTTCACTCTTTTCTATCCTGAGCTAAACTTCGCATTTCCCTAAAACTAGAACAGCCCACATCCCTAACTATTTGCGAAGAGTAATCTAATCTAGGTCTACCTCTACCCCTCCTAACTCCTGTTTCTGCCTCTAATATGTCTCTGACTACAAGATCTATTTACTCAAAAAATTAGAATTGACCCAAGTAGGAAGTTTTCCACTAATCCTCAACAATTCTGACTCTTATAATTAAACCCTGTCAGGTTTTAATAAAATTTTTATAAATAGTGTGAAGATTATCACCAATTTCCTAAACTTTCTGCCACGTATTTCATTAAACAAAATTGTTAGAAATTATTAATTAAAATATTTTAAGTGTGAAGTTGAAGTGGTGCAAATTCAAAATCATGAACTTTACGGCCTATGAAACTCATGAAGCAGGAAAAAAAATAAATTGAAGAAAATAGCCCCTTTCTAACCACGTTTATTGCATTATTTATAAAATAAAGAAATATTAACGTCATTAACATAACAACTCTTTTAACAAAATATAATGAACAACATTTTTTAAAAAGTAAAAAAAAAGAAAATCAAAAACTAAATAGCTAGATTCCTAAAAGTTGTCTCCATCTTCATCCAATCTTGAATCGTTTGCTTCCGATTCAATGTCTACATCACTTGCTTCTGTAAAAAGAAACAAAGTTTAGTCGTCATGCAACAAAAACAATTAACAGTAGTCGTAGATAAATTTATTATTGGAATAGAAAGTTTTTGTACCCAAGTTTCGTACTTTGATTTTTCATATTTTCTCGTCAAATACTCAATACATATAATCAGTCGGTCACGTACCGACAATCTATACTGATAATGTAATAATTGACTAATTGAGTACCTGAAAAACATTTTTTTTATTTAAATAATAAGTATATCTACAAATCTACATACATCAAATGTATCATTGTACGTATCTATTGTAATTACGTCACACTGTTCCGGCCACGTGTAGACGTACGTCTCCTTATTTCGTACAGTTTAAAATTTCCGGAAATTTTTGAAAAATTGTTTCTTAAGAAAATCGAAACGTTATCTCCATGTAACTACGAGTTTACTACCTCGTTATAAAAGGAGAGTGGAGAATTATTTTTGACTTACGAATTTCAAGTTAATTTATTTAAAAAATACCCTGCTTGATGAAATTTATTGTTCAGTTCTACCTTTTGTGATAAGAAATAAAACAAATATTTGATTGATAGAAAAATAATATTAGAATTGTAATTGTTTTTCTCTTTGGAATTCACTGATAACTATGTAATCAATAAATAATTAATAAGTCAGAACCAAAAAATTAAAAATATTACGAGAGTTTTACAATAACTTTTTTTAATTAATTTTTACCACTATATAACCTAAAATTAATTCAAAAATAATTCACTTGTTGATTTGTTTATTATAAAATACTATTGTTACAAAAGTTTCCTTCATTAACAAGGAAAGTTTTCAAAATAGTTAACGCCTGGGAAGATGAACGAGATACTTAACCTTTTTCTTGAAAANCAATAGTTTTTTATAATAATTCACTTGTTGATTTGTTTATTATAAAATACTATTGTTACAAAAGTTTCCTTCATTAACAAGGAAAGTTTTCAAAATAGTTAACGCCTGGGAAGATGAACGAGATACTTAACCTTTTTCTTGAAAAATATACGACTATAGGTACTGATTAAGTAAAAAAAGACCAAAATCATAAAAAAAAGTGTGATATTAATTTACAACAAATTGAGTTTCAATAAGTTTTATCTATAGGAGTTTTCGTATTATGTCTGCGACGTGAAGAAAAGTAAAACAATTTTTACCTATTTATAAAATAATATTCTTCAGTATCAATCAAATGTTTAAGGTTTCTTACAATTTGTGATAAGAAACGCATAAAGCAAATATTTAGTAAACTCTTATCAAAAAAGAAAAATCGAATTAACGCATACAACTTGTTTTTCAGGTTTCTTCTGGCAATCAATATCTTCGATTTAAGGGAATATGAAAAGCTATTACCGGTAAGTCAATAAAAATACCTATATTATTTTTATGTATGACATTAATATCGCCATTAACGAGGTTAATACATTTAAAAACTTTCAAAACTGAAAAAAACGGGAACAATTTAGATGCAATAAGTCTTAGTCAAAGATATGATATGGTACTTGTTGTGGCTAAACGCCCGTTGACGAAATCATTAGGTAAAATTACGTTACGCTGTAGACGAACCATTATTCACAAACATGCGAGAAGTGCTGAGCTTTATGGACTAGATAGGTATTGAGCAGTGGCGTAGCAAGGTAACCAAGGGCCCTGGGGCAATTCAAAAAATGGTATCCCACTGCTATTTAAACTGGTTAGGTTTTATCAAGAACGATCTCCTCGCGCGCGGGCTTGAATTAATGCACCTACTGCAGGTGACCTGCATTTTTTCCATTATATTTCGCGTTATACAATGAATAGCCGAAATCTATAAATTTGACATGATTTATTGACGTAACGAACATCAATATGAGTGGTACTAAAATCAAATAACATTGAACAACTATATTGACCATTACTAAAAAGTTTATTGACATTAGCTTATTTACTCCTGATACACCATTAATTTTTTAACCGTTCTCGCAAAAAAATTTTGACTCGAATTTACAATAAAACACACATATCGCTGTCCGTCAAATTGACAACACTGCCAACCCACAAAAAGAATTTAGGGGAATTCCCTAGATATAACTTTCGAATTACTCTCAATTGGGTTGCCATGATTAAAGTTGGGTTGCAACCTGTTATATTTATTTTGAAAATGGGAGAATTTTTCAAAAATTCAATTCGATCGAGATTTTCTAGTAAGAATTCGAGGGCCCCTGAGCTTGAGGGGCCCGGGGCACTGCCCCGCCTAGCCCCTAGGTAGCTACGCCACTGGTGTTGAGAGATGATTCCCTGATTGCCTTATGTAAAGTGCAACAGAGATAAAAATTATGCACAAAGGGATTGGATTAGGTTACAGTATTAGGGGCTCGCCTTGGCTAAAATGTAAAGCACAATCTACAAGGGTACCTTGCCGTGTAAATTATTGGGTTGTTCGGAAAGTCATTTCGTTTTTTCCCGACAGAGGATTTAATTGTATTCTTTTGCACCCAACTTCACATTTAAGCCGTATAATTTTTATATGCTTTGAGAGCTCATATAGCAAGGCTTGTGTGTGAAAAATTCCAATTAATTCTACGCAGTAGTTTTTGGTTGGTGCCCTTTTAAATATGGAGAGCGATAAGCAGCATTTTCGACATATCTTACTGTTTTACTACAGAAAGGGTAAAAATGCTGTTCAAGCCAGAAAGAAATTGACTGATGTGTATGGAGAAGGTGTGTTGACAGTACGCCAGTGCCAGAACTGGTTCGCTAAATTTCGATCCGGCAATTTTGATGTCGAAGATGCACCACGTTCGGGAAGGCCGGTTGAAGCTGATAAAGACGCGATAAAGGCATTAGTTGATGTGAACCGGCGAATAACAACACGTGAGATCGGATTGAGGTTAAATTTATCAAATTCAACAGTTTATGACCACTTGAAAGGCCTGGGATTATCCTCGAAGCTCGATGTATGGGTTCCCCATGTTCTCACAGAGAGAAATCTGTGTCGCCGCATTGACGTCTGCGATTCGCTTCTCAAACGTCACGAAAATGATTCGTTTTTGAAGCGCATCGTCACTGGGGACGAAAAATGGGTTGTATACAACAACGTCAAACGCAAGAGGTCATGGAGCAAAAAAGATGAACCAGCTCAAACCATTTCCAAAGCCGATATTCACAAAAAAAAGATAATGCTGTCTGTTTGGTGGGATTTTAAAGGAACGAAAGAAATGATGCACTTCAACAGAAAAGGTCAGAACTAATCAACAGGAAAGGTGTAGTGTTTCACCAAGACAACGCGAGACCTCACACAAGTTTGGTCACTCGCCAAAAGCTTTTACAGCTTGAATGGGATACAATGCTACACCCACCATATTCTCCAGACCTGGCACCATCGGATTATTATTTGTTCCGGTCACTCCAAAATTTTTTAGACGGTAAAACCTTCACCTCAAATGAGGAGGTCAAAAACCTCCTCGATCAGTTTTTTGCCAGCAAAGACCAAAAATTTTATGAGCATGGAATTATGCTACTACCAGAAAGATGGCAAAAGGTGTTGGACCAGAACGGTCAATATATAATTTAATAAAGTATTTGTTTATTATAAGAAAACTGTCTTTCATTTCCTCAAAAAAACAAACGAAATGACTTTCCGAACAACCCTATAGTATCAATTTCAGGTGGTACCTACTTTAACGAAATCAATATCATTTCGTTTTCGTGAGATTCGGTTTATAAAAATGCAGTTCTTCTGTTTACTTCTGACGTTTCCTCATAGTTGAAACTAAGAGAACTGAAGAAAATGTAATGAAATCCTTACCCCCCACGAATCCTGCATGATCACCGTCATTTCCTTCACTGCCTTCACTGTAGTACTCGCCGCCGCCTTCGCCAACATACTCTGCATCTCTAGAAAGTGTTGATCAACAATTTTAATGAGAACTTAATTAAATCTCAAATATGAATTAAAACTGATTATCGTTAAAGCGTAAGTATTACAAAACAGAAATGCAGGGTGGTCGAACAATGCGTTATTAGCGTTAGAAAAATGTTTAATACGGAAGTAAGTTACATGAAGTACAGATTCTACTTTTAGACAAGGTAACAGCGTAACTTTTCTTTATATTTCACTGCCTAAATTCCATATGAAAATGATAATGATTCTGGTGGATTCCAGATCTTATAATTTATGATAAATCCAATGCTTTGCGTATTACTTTACTTTAAATTTAATATTAAGTACATAAACTGACCAACAAGTTCATGGACCGTGGTTGTGGTTTATATTTATTACTCAATAAATTTACTAAAAAGATTAAAATGCGCCAGTAGTTTAGTTCCGTCCTCAAATTTGGGCACACAGTTGCCTTGAATTGTTATATTGCAATATCCATAAAGATAATTAGATATTAAAGAATTAAACAACTGATACGGTAAGCAATAAAACCAAATAAGCCTGCCACATTATTTAAACAATTCATCCAAAAAAGTGCAAACATTATTTGTTAAAGTCTGTGATAAGCCACTATGTTACTGATCGCGCTTAGGATCAAAGCATTTTAAAGTCAAAATCAACACGGACGTTCTACTGGAAGTAAAAGGCATTTTCACATTAAATTACTACATTAAGCACGTGGAGAATGATTTGGATAAATAGAATACGAAATACTAAAGGTAAGTTTAGGCTAAATACACAGAAGTGAGCCTTTCACAATTGGTATCATCAAGCAAGTTTTATTTTGTAGACTAATTCGCGACTATTGAAGACAAACATTACTTTATCTATATACGTTTAATACATGCATTCGCATAAGCCCATTTCAAAGTTGTATACGTTGGAAGGTTAAAGACTTGACGCATGCATCGCAAAATATTTGGATGGGCGCAAAATCGGTTAGGTAGTAGGTGCCTAGATTCTATTGGCTACGCATACCAAGCATGCGTAAAGTTAACTGTGTAATGTGGGCATAGTTATGTCACCACTCATTCTCCTCAAGAAGGTTTCATTCCCCTCAATTATAAAACAGCAAATAGTAAGCTTAATTAGAAGTATTATTATTGTTTGATATAGAAATGTTTTCCGAAAATTAGGATCTTACTTAAATGGATCGTAAAAATAACTTACACCTCCTCTGGCTGAACAGCTACTACTTTGTTTGCTTTGTTTAATTTTCTTTCTGGACCTGAAACAGTTTCAATATTGATTTGGCTTACAGTTACATTTAAGGAAAACGATTGATTATATTAAAATTCGGTTCACTGGTAGAATTAACAACAACAAGAAGCGTCTACAAAATTTAACAAGAAAATTAGTATTAAAAAAATTATATAAAATGGCTTACTCACTACGACTGCCCATCACTAATATTTCCCTACTTAGACACTGATCTATCTACCACCACTGCCCACATCTAAATTTCTCCAAAACAATCTTTGCTTAGGATTCCTGATAAACCTTCGTTATGTTTTCTTTGGGTCTGTCTAACCTGACCAGAACTACGGTTTTGGATGGTAAGTGGATCAGAGCTTGGGTAAGGGAGGTATTAGTGACGAACAGTGCAAGCCTGCAAACCACGGTAAATTTGACCAAGAATAATTAATTTTTGAATTTTATATAATTTTTTAATAGATATCATTTCCTTAAAAATCTTGTAGATCCTTCTTTAGAATTCTACCTACTGTATGATCCGAATTACAATAAAATCCATCAACTTTATTGTTTACGTATTTCGGCAACTCTTTTGTAGCAAGATGAAAACAAACTAAATTAAACAAAAACTTTTATACAATCAGACATAAAACGAGCCAAAAAGTCTCTGTATTTTTCTTCTCAAAGCATCATCCTTAACTGAATTATCGGTTAAAAGTGCTCACCTTCCACTGGAGCGGAACGTTTGTGATGACTCCTTCCGGTTCCGGTGTGATCTTGACCGGCATACTTTCCGAAAGCAGAATGGGCTTCAAAAGCGTATTTGTCAGCGTTTTTCTTGTGGAAACTATCGAAGTGTTTGTAACCGTCGTTTCCCTTGTCGCTCTTCCTTCTGTAGTATCCTTGTTCGTTTTCTCCGTCAGCACCGTCGGTATAAGTGTGGATGTACGCTCGAGTACCTGTGGACACAAAACGTTGTCAAAATTACGCCCGATGAACAAAACGAAATTTATCGGAAATATTAAAATAATAAATGTAACATGTATCTGATCATCAGTCGTCTACCTACTCACGAGTTACACTAAGTATGTAATTGCACAATTTTCCTTAAAATTTAGAAGTTCTGTTGAATGAGAAAGCCTTGACGGTTTCGGCTTATTGAAGAATTTAACACCTCTAGCAAAGATTAGCTCAGGATAGGTAACTGTGGAGGTGCATGTCCAAACAGATCAAGCGGCATGAGGTAGAGGTTTAGCCAATTGCTTAGCATTCGGGAGGACGCCGGTTCGATTCCGGGTCAGTCTGCCTCGGTCCAAGTTTTTCTGTGGTTTCCTTGGATCACTTAAGCAGATGCTGGGGCAGTAATTATCCATCCCACGGGATAATCTTTCATTCTTTTCTATCTTCATTTCGTCCGTCTCAACTTTCTCACCCGAACTACCACCCACCCATTCCCACGATTCCTGAAAGCAGGCTGAAGAGGGCCTTCCGCCCTACCTTGCGGCATAGTCCAGAGGGACTGCCCGCCCACCAGCATTACTGGCTGGTGGGAATGAAACACCCAAAAGTTTTTTTTTTGTCCAACCAGTCTTAGGGTTGACGACCTTATGATGACGATGAGCTGATAAGATTGGGGAAGTACCAAATAGGTGTGACGGGGATTTACTGTAACGGTGAAATATCGATTTTTAAGGCATTAAACACTACCTACGTGATATCGAGTTAAAACAGTATACTATCATCTTCTGTTCTCACTGAACATAGTTTCCATTGATGAAAGTTGGTTTGTTCAGTGTTCACATATATTGGTGACATAATGTGAATTCCCTAATAACAACACTAGAATATGCCGAGACATCGTCATTCATAAATCATGACCGAAGTTGTTCCAATGGAACTTAAAAGAGGGAGATCATTCTCAAGAAGGTTTTTTGTAACTTCCCCCATTTTATCTATTTAGTAAATACTACAAATGCTTTGGATTCAGCACATTTTTGGATAAGCTTCCTAAGACGGTCAAAAAGAAAACCTCCTTTTCTATATGGACCAATTGTTAGTATGTATAACTTGAGTATTTTTGGACACATGATGCCATCTTACCATTTGGCTTAAATCACATTGGTGGTAGAACTTTTTTAAACAATAAGACCAAGTGGTTTGATTACTAATTACAAATCTGCTTCTCATTTCTGTTAAATTTTCTATCATTTAAATAGAAAATGGTTTTTTTGTTTTATAATTTCTCGTGAATAGCAAATTTCTAATTTGGTTTCGAAGTAATTCACTCTGACTATGTGCACACTCCATAAAACACGAATTCTTTCGTCGCTTGCAAGCTTAGCAACCAGTTTTTGTCTTCTTTTCGAACGGTTTTCATCGAAGTGCTATGTCAGATCAAAAGTTGACCATGTATAACGTACGTACTTAACTCACTTTTTAAAAGAATGAAATTTCAGATTTGCGGCTACAGCGAACAAAAACGGATAACGTATCATGCTATAAACTTTCATTGTAGTGGTCTTTTTGAAATTGCCAGTAATACGTAACAGTTATGTACAATAATTCTTTGCTAAAGTCAATTTCAACATAAATAAATCTATTGCATATCAGAGAAAATGAAAAACTAATGTTAACCACATATTTCAGTTGATTCAATTAGATACATGTATGTCGAAAGATGTTAGGAAACTCACATCAATCAAATTCCTTTGGGATAAGCACATGTTTAATTTATTATCTAAAGAAAACCCTTCGTATTGACTCATTATCTATATGAAAATAATTTTGTCAATAACTATTGTACTAATATGTAGTAGTAATCAATTTACTAAATAATATTTTCATACCATATGAAAAGTTAATAGATGAGGCCCTTAGTCAAATAAAGTTACAAATTATTTATTGACTGTACAGTGCTTATTTTACCACGCAATGGATTCTTCAGCTTAAAAAAGAATGAGTAAATTTAAGGGTAACTTTCTTCCACCCCAAGGCGAAATCATTGTTCTGCCACCAACAAATAATTTGTAACTAAAATTTGTTTTTCTGTTTTTTTAACAAAAGAATTCTAAGGCAAATAGTTGTAAAACGACATAAATAATAAGAGCATTCTGCCATAAAACTCAAAGCGTTACTCAGTGAACTTTTTATTAATAAATAATAATTTCATGCTAAAATAGATCTGTAGAAATTTAACTACAGTAGGTATATAACAGGCAAATATTATTACATTAGTTACAGTTCCCCATTCCCCATATTACAACGGGGATCATTCATATTGTATAACTGATTATGAACCGTAAAAGTTGAGCTTGCAAGTAGATATAATAAATATTATAGTTACTAATTTCTAATTAATTACCCATTAGAGTACAGATAATGCGATTAAAGAAAATAGCAACATTTCTATTGCCAAAAAAAAAATATTAACCTAAAGGTAATACATTACGATACCTGGATCTGGTTCAGCAGCAACGGGTTCAGGATTTTGTTGCGCAGCTCGTACTTCCCGAACCAACGATTCGACGAGGGCTGTGTCATCTTCGCCAGTATCAAAAAGGGGCCCGTCGTTGAGGGGAAGTCCGTAGCAGGAGCCGATCAGGATTACGGCCCCCAGTAAGCTACATATGTACATTACGATTAATGTAATCAATCGAAACGAGAAACAAAGAAGACAGTTGTAATAGACACTTTGGAAAATAAAAGAAAGAATAACGGATATCGTATAATTATACTCGAGTGGGTGGCTGAATCGTTCTAGTCTACTTATAAAGATTGCTTGGACTTAAGGCCTAAGAGGGGCGTGTAGATTTACCGCTGTTGCGACAAAAGAATAATTATTATACAACAGCTACATAGACAACTACGACCAACTGGTAACGATTCGATTACCGTGCTCAAACATCCGGCAAATTGCTTTAGATATGGTGTTCTTATCTCCAAGAAATCATTCCGTCCATATATAACTTTTCAAAAACGAACACACACACAAGCATCTACTTGTAAAACAGAAATATGTTTTTTTTTTGGTAGGTAACAATTTCTTTAACATTTGACAGGTTCAGAAATTACAAAATGCTTACCTATTTGGAATTAGTAAGTATGTTCAATGCACCTTTTACTTGGATTTTTTCTCATTACTTGCTAAGGACAATCAAGTTTACTGGATTTACTTTCTCACTTATTCTAAAGGGGTGTTTGGTCGTCGATTCGTAAACCCAAATGCAGTGAAGACTGAAGAAATCTCGATCATTATAGGAGATTCTCTTAGCGGAAAGTTAACGTCAGAATCCAGCTCCACCACTCAAACATAACGGTCCTTGAACATTCCAGAACGCTCTCGATTCATTCGATCCTGTTCACTCCAGAATATTCTACTTGAGGACAATTCCAGATATTCGAAAACTTCCTAGCTCAGGACCATCCTAGAAATATTCCAACGGGTGTATCCTCACTTATTATGCCTGGAGAAATGTCGATATAGGAAATTATTCTAAACATTGTATTAGGACTGTTTGGTCTATATAGGTATATAAAAACAAGTTCCACCACTCAAACATAATGGTTCCTTAACATTTCAGAACGTTCTCAGTTCATCCCCTCCAGTTCACTCCAGAACATTTTACTTGAGGACTGCTCTAGAAACATTCCAAAGGGTACATTCTCGCTTATTTTGAACGGGTGTTTGGTGGCCGATCCGTAAACCCAAACGTACACCAAACTGGAGAAATATGGAACGTTATAGGAGATTCTAAATATTCTTTTAAGACCCTTTGGTCGAAATATATGACTATTTAATGTTAGAATCCAGCTCCACAACTTAAACATAACTGTCCTCAAACATTCCAAAACGCTCTCGATTCATCCGGTCCAGTTCACTCTAGAACATTCTAACTGAGGACGATCCTAGATATTCGAGAAGTTTCTAGTTCAGGACTATTTTAGAAATATTCCTTTAAGTATATCCTCACTTATTATGAACGGCTCAAAAGGACCAGACCAGAGAAAACTCGAACGTCATAGGTGAATCCAAACTTCCTTGTAAGATTCTTTGGTCGAAATATATGAAAATTTAATGTCAAAATCCAACTCCACCACTCAAAAATAACGGTCCATGAATATTCCAGTGCGTATTCGATTCATATGGTTCAGTTCACCTCCGGAACATTCTACTTGAGGACAATTCTAGATATTCGACAACTTCCTAGCTCACGACCACCCTAGAAATATTCCTTTGGGTGCAACCTCACTTATTCTGACTGGAGAATTCTCTAACGTTATAGGAAATTCTATACATTGTTTTAGCACTCTTTGACCTAAGTAGATAGGCATATGAAAATTAAGTGTCAGACACCACCTCCATAACTGAAACATGGCAGTCCCCAAACATTCTAGAACTTTATCGATTCTTCCAATCCAGTTCACTCCAAAGCTTTTTTATTTTAGGACAATCCTAGATATTCGAGAATTCCAGCTGAAGACCAACCTAAGAACATTCCATGGGGGACATTCTCGCTTTTTCTAAACAACTATTTGGTGACCGCAGATGCACTCACACATACCAAATTAGACAAATCTTCAACGTTCCCTATTACCTATTCATGATGATTCACGACTCTTGCTCGTAAAATCTAGCTGAGGACAATTCTTATTGTTAGAGACATTCGAGGACATTCTGGTGAAAACCACCCTGAAAACAATAACGAACATTCTAATACATTCTCACTTATTCTAAACGGGTTTTTGGTGGCCGGTAGTCGACTCGTAGATCCTCATCTCCACCAAAAATTAAATATAATAGGGGATTTCAACCTTTTTGACTTCGAGTATTATCGAAATATTTGAAAATGCCCAAATACAATGTCAGAAGGTAGTTCCTTCACTCACACACAATGGTACTGGAACGTTTCAGAACTTTCAGAACTATCATGGTTCACTTTAGATTATTCTGCCTTAGGGTAGTCCTAGATTCTCGAGAACATATCAGTTGAGGACAACTAAAACCGTCCGCATCCAGCATTGGAAATGGAAGGACCTCCGAAGAAGCTTGTCACTCGTGCTAGCGAAACCTTAGGAAACAACTCCAGCACACGACGGCCTTTAGATTCTAATCAGAATAGCATCAATTCACAGCTAAAACCATTCAAAACATTCTAGTGCTTTTACACTTTTTCTAAACGGGTGTTTGGCACCCGGTGGAAGACCCGCAAACCCACATAACCATCAAATGTGAGAAGATTGGAACACTATGGGAGATTCCAAATACTTTTAGGAATTTTTGGTCGAAATAGGAAAATGTCTTTTAACCACCATATCTTCTCACCACCACAGCTACCCACATTACGTTTTAAAACTTACTCATTAAAAAGATTTCCTGTATACATGAGGTTTTAGAAAGATATCTTTGCATTTCACTAATAAAATAAAGGTTGAGTCATTGAGCGTCATTGTTAAGTAGCTGGTAACGAGGTGTTCAACTATTTGAGTTGAATTATTCGCGTGAAGTTTTTGCTAATTATCTAGAAACAGTAACGTTACGCTCGAAATGAAAACAAAAAATTCGTTTTGCTTTCTACCAGATGATGATCTCCCTCAACTGTGGTAATTTGAATGAAATTCATTTCCTAGAGGTCCATCTAGCATTTTTTTTTGCAATGCTTGTGTACCTACATACATTATCCATTTTCCATTTTGATAGTAATGTTAATCAGTATTAGTTCGTGACCATTATTCCTAGGCAACAATTTTGAACAGTGATGAAACAATAACCTATAGAGATTTAGAAAATACCACAAATGGCGTGGTGAGCGCCATCTCTAGTATCATGCTACATTTTAGGATTACGTATGCTCCAGCAAAGTCCATTTAAATATATGGATATCTACTTGCTGAAACGAATCCCGGCGTAGCTCACCTCAACGTGATCAGCGCGTCGCAGGATGAGATAAAAAGATCGAAATCGCGATCCGCGTCTGGCAGTTTCGACAGAATACAAACCACATCGAATTATTTTGTTCGATTATGGTAACGTGCCTATCACGTTGAGGTGAGCTACGCCGGGATTCGTTTCAGCAAGTAGATATCCATATATTTAAATGGACCTTGCTGGAGCATACGTAATCCTAAAAAGTAGCATCGTACTACAGATGGCGCTCACCACCCCATTTGTGGTATTTTCTAAAACGCGCTGTTAAGACAGCAGGTAAAGGTTGGTCTGTGTTCTGTCGCAGCTGCCTGCGACGCGCTGATGAGATCCAAAAAGATCGAAATCGCCATCCGCGTCTGGCAGTTTCGACAGAATACAGACCACTTCGAATTATTTTGTTTGTTTTATAGAGATTTATGTCGATGTATTGAAGGTCTCGCTTAATTCACGTTGTATTTTACTTTTCTTTACGATTGAATACATTGAAATTGAAAATTGAAAAGAATGTGCGTACCTACATGTGATGCACTGGTAGAAAGGTTTTGATTTTGAAATATGTCAGTACAATGTGTCATTTGGTTAATATGAATGTTAAATTTTTGGTAACTGTTTTTACATTACAATGGCCATTTTTGGGAACGTCTTGCCAAAATTTATGTGTAAATCGTTAAATCTGCAGCAAACGTTGTTACCTGTCAGTAGATTTATTTCATTGTTCAGAAAAAAATCGGTAGGTCTTTTGATTGATATAGGCGTACAACGTAGGTATACATTATTCGTTAAATACTAAACATGGAAATAGTGCAAAGAAGCATATGTCTATTGGAGTGCCAAAAGGGAACAACAGATTAGAATCATAAAACCAAAATGTAAACTTATTATATTGCTTTACAATAATTGACTGTTTCCATACCAAAAATTTAGAAGGAAGAGTCCCATTACTTAATTCATCGGCCCCAGCCAGACGAGTACTGCGAAATACTGCGGCTGTTATGGGAGTGCTACTATCCAGAAGAACCGACAACACTTTCTTTAGGTTTGGGTCATTGTCACAATCCAGTAATGGACGAAGATTCTTTAAGAGGACTTTCCGAAGGCCTGTCTTTAGTGGCACGATGTAAATATACTGGAGACATAGTGGCAGGTTCAGTAAATAGAACTGCTTGTCCCTGGGATGCGGAAGAGATGGAAAGGTTCTCGTGTTCTCTCACTTGCCCTAAATTGAAGTCATACACCAAGTTTAACGCCCATTTACTGAAAGCGCCTATGCTATGGGAAAGATTTTGTACAGATAAAATATTTGAGGTAAGAATGAAAAGGTTATCTGAAGATGGTTTGATATTTGGGATTGATGAGTGTTGTCCAGGATTGACTCTACTCCTCGTGAAACGTTGGATAAACAAAATTATGGGTGGACTCATTAAAGGGAGAGAATAACGACCATTAAGTCCGAAAATATGTATATTAAAAGAAGAAAGTACTAGAACTTAATATTGTGGAGCATTTAAAATCATACAGTGCTTTCGATGTTAGTTATATGCAGCTGTTACTACAGCATCTCAATGATTTAGTTTCTTCGAAGATGTATTTCCAAATAGTGCAGCACTTGGCTGTTTTAACGTTAGTTGTGATGTGTTCTAAAATTTGATTGTATTAGACTTATTTCAGTTAACATTTCTCCAGCATTCATAAATTTTCCCTTATTGGGACCACACCAAGAGTCAATTTCTAGGACTTTCTTCACCATTCTCCAAAATTTTGTGCAGTTGTGTCAATATCTATTTCGTTCTATAACAATTACTTACATAAATTGATCTCTGTTTTTCTTTAAACTATGAAATGGATCCGTTAGATAGATACAAAACAGCTGTTTTTCTTGGAATTTCGCCCATCTTCAAAAAAAAAAAAAATTTAAGCCCCCCTTCCTGGAGCATTGGTTGTTCTTTAATATAAAAGCTGTACTTGGCACAAAAAAGTATTTGTTTCAGATATCTCAAGTGTTTGTTAAGAAGGAAGAAAGGCAAAAAGGCTTAGGATTCAAATTGATAAAGTCTTCAAAAGAGTTGGGTGCAGACTGTGGTTTTAGGGTGATAAGGTTGGACGCAACAAGCCACTACTCGTAAGAAAATCCATTTCTTCCGTTACAGCACAGCATATCATGTGAAACAATTCCAGGGCAAAAATTTGCGAGAAATTAGACATGCGATTGATTTACACGATTAACTATGACGATTATGTTGACATTTACGGTAATCCGGTTATAAAGCCGCCACCTCCGCATTGTGCTTGCAAAGTTTACATCGACCTACCGCATTCCATGGAACAGAGGAAGAAAAAGAAAAAGAAGCGAAAATAAGAATTTGTCACGTTTGTCTACTCTGTTTTGTCTTGGTTATGGAATAAATCTGTGCTATAAAAGAATTGCGTATTTAACTTGTGAGAAAGTTTGGCTTTCAAAAATACTCATTACTTTCACACACCCAAAGTAAACGAAAAGATATGAACTTAGGAGTATACGTGTAGATATCCTTTTGACACACTGTAATAGTGCCATTTTAGGGTTACATTTTCTTAATGTAGTCTACGAGTTACTAGACTTACATAATTATTGTCCGTTTACTTAGAGATATGCACAGCGTGAGCAATGCCCCCAAACGAATATCGGTCGTAAGCGCGTCCACGGAACGTGATCGGTCGTTCCCGAGCAAGGCGCAACCACATACCTCTGGCGCCGTAAGTAACTTTTGCCAGTTACGCCCATTAAGGTCGTCCGGTCACATTTACTGCCATGTGTACCTTTCTCTAAGTGAACGGACTCTAACTAGGTACTAGACAGATGTTATAACTCCATCCATAACCGCTTGAAACGTGTAATATTATATTACCTATTTAATAATTCATTTTTCTACAAATTTTTGGGTCTTCACGGAATAAGCGAGAATATGTTATTACTAACCATTTTCACACGAAAACCAGCAATAATTGCTCAAAAATGCACTTGCAAAACAGAAAGACCCTTCACGCTTAATTATCGTTTTTATTCGATTATTATTGAAAACCATTTACGTTTTTGGCGACTATTTCGCATATCTCATACAAAAAGAACTCCAAATGTGAAGGGTATGTGTGGTAAATATTTTTAAAGAACGAGATGACAAAACTTTTGAAACAATTGTTCACTTTACGTAAATACTTTCATGTATGTTTGTCTATGTCTGCCGGAAGGACTAGCATAAGTCATTTTCCTTCGGCAACTTTTGGGTGGATATTAAAAAACTTTCTGGAACCTTTTTATTGCTTACGTTGGAAACAATATGTTTGTTCCTACTTGAAATACCCATTTCGACAAGCTGTTACAGATGAGTCTTAATAGTTAATTGTGGGTAGGAATTCAACACAGTACCCTGGCACCACTATGAATTTTCATATTTGATAAGAAGAATCATTCTATTTTACTATTGTATACGCGAACATTGAAAGTTCTACTGTTGCTGGCGGATGAGATTATTTAAAAATATTATTAATGTTATTGATTGTTTAAATCTAGAGACAGACATCGATGTTTTCTCCAAGTGGTGTAATATTTGATAAACGTCTCGACTGTAAACTGTGAGGTATAGAAATCCATGGGATCCCTGATAAGGAATTGTATGACGTATTTGCTTGTAAAAAACACTGGATTTTTCTCCACTTTTGTGATATATAGATCCTAGGTTTTAGACCCTATACACTACCTACTTCCAAACTGAAAAACTCCTACATGAGTACTTTACATTTTAGTCAAGTTTACTTATCCTTTTCAAAAATTATTGGCTTAGTTGACCTCTCACTTGCATTTGTAATTATAATGATTATTGTTTAATGTTTAGAATATTGTCAGGTAAAGAATGTAGTAATTCGGTGCTGGCTATGATTGCCCTTTGGATTAATTATTACTCAGTTATTAAATACCAAACATGTGAGTTCAATCTGATCGGACGAGGCTTGAACCTTGACGAAACCCTTGTACATACTAGAGTGGATAGATTGGCTTACGAGTTTCGATGATTTAGAGAGCCGGACCATAAGTTCAACCATAACGTGGGGGGGGGGGTTCTTAAAGAGAAACCAGACTAAGACAAGTCCCTGAAAGAGGGCAGCAGCTCTTTCAGTACTCAGGATGGTAGAGATCATGAAGATCGGTATGGCACTCTGATGCATAATACTGCGATGTGGAAGGCAACGAGAAACCACCACATTATGATTCCGAGTAAAATGTATCACACAGAATAAATGATGGCGTCCTCTGGGGTAAAGCACTCCGGACATAAACTAGTCTCATTCAGATGTCCGGTCGGGGAGTATCTCGGGGGATGTCATCAATAAGTGTAATAGGGGTAGGTGCAATATTTCCGAGTCGGAGCGTGGAATGTAAGGAAGCAAGTAGGGAAATTGGAAAATTTTGATGACCTTATGATGATGATGATGATGATGTGAGTTCAATATGTGAATAAAAGGGTGCAGCAAAATCTCAGCAAAACCCTTTTAAAGGGATCGTATGTATGGGCTATGTTACCCGATGATTAGTTAAATAAATTAATAAGTAAATAATTATAATTTAAACGAATTTGTAATTAGTACTAGTAGAAGATACCTTACATTAAATGAACCTGACGATGAGATTAACAGAAACAAAAAAAATTGTTGTATTTTTTTTTTCACGTTATCAAATTTGAAACTTTTAGTAATCTTAATCTCATCATCAAAAATAAAACGGAAATTTCTCAATTGTGGAACGAAAACATCTGATAAATAGGGTGCTTTTTTATATATTCTTTTAATCAAAACAGTGAATTTACAGAAAACCCTCTTCAGTCTGTTTTTATCTTTATAAATTCTTACTAAATTTCACAATATCCACTCCTTGCTTCAGAAATCCCGGACGATTACAAATGCTTTTCAAAACAATGAAAAAATTTTCATTTCGGTTTAGAATTGAAGGAATTTCATTTATTTTCCTTTTTTTTTTAATAATTATTAAACGTGCCTAACAGTTTCATGGTTAGATAAGCAATTAAAATGCGTTTCAGTTTGATTTTTTTTGTTTTGATGCAGAAAATCGAAGAAAAGCAAAATGCTAGAGAGCAATAGTATAAAACAATTTCCAAACTCTTGTGTTATGTGGGTCAAACAGCAGGTATTTTTATGGAAAGGGTTATTATACGCTGGCACACGGCGATTGAGCTTTTTTGCTTCGGCGTCGTGCTATATGTTTACGAATTTGTAACGGTTTTCTTAATCGATCCGAAATTGAAAAAGCGAGAGCTCGCGACCAGTCGTGTGCATTTTGTTCTTTATATACAAATTAACAGAAAATAAGTTCGATTAAAAAACATTACTTTTACTTCAATTGAAAAACGTTCATGTAACCACACTTCATTTCACTTCTAGAAACTACAGTATAAAAGCGTTATATACTATTATGGCTAAGCAACTTTCACTCAGCGCGAAATTTAACAATTAAAAAAAAATCCATTCGTACACAAGCATTTACATTACAAAACAGTAAAAAATCAATAATTACAATAACACAAAATACAAAAAGCAGTTTCACATCGTCAAAAGCATTTTTCTTTATACCTTATCTTACTGACCGTGACAGCTCTCTAGATATTGGACGTATTCAATTTTCTTTGGAGAAAACAGTTTCCATTAATGCAGCAGTTTGATTCTGCAACATGCAGTTCTAGACTAGAATCATTAAATTATGTTATTACATTTAGCAATTATTATTTGATTTCTTTAGTAGGTACTTATTGTATTTGACGCTTTTAAGGAGAATAAGAAAGCTGTCAGAACAGTTTTGTCGAAAATTAGCTATCTAAATTGCATTCCTATTAAGCTAATTTTCATATATTACGGAGTTTTAAATCCATAAGTTTTCCCGCTATTCTTGCCACCCTTTGTGCCATAATTTCTGTAATGCTTATGGTACTGAGTGTCTCCTTCCTTCTTATCAAATCCTTCATCTTCTTTGTCATAGTGCCCTTCTGCAAATGCTCCTTTCTTTCCGTGCGATTTTGCATCGTGACCTTCATTTTCCTTTCCACCCTTTTTGAAAGCACCCTCGTTGTGGTAACGATTTGCCTTATAGTCGCCAAACTTATTGAACCTGCCTTTTTTATGATAATCGTCGTAGAACTTGTGTTCCTTGTGATATTCATCTTTGAAAAACTTGTTGTGGTAACCTTTCGTTTTGTGGCCTTTTCTGTGTCCTTTCTTTTCGCCAAATTTGGCCCCTCTGTATCTTTTTCCTTCGTCTCTATGATTTTTAAAATGTCCCGCTTCGTCATGGTGGTTATTTCTGTTCCGACCGTTTTCTCCATGGTCACTGGCTTCATGGGTTTTTTCATGCTCGCCGCGGTTATTCTCATCATGGTGATGACTACTGGAACCCTTTTTCAAATCACTGTGACCATGACCTTCGTATTCACTCTGCTTGTGTTGGTTTCCCGAACCATGGTGGTGAGAAGCTAATCCTGGATAAAAATGAGGAATCTTTACTTCTTCTTTAACTTCTTCGCTGTTGTGATACGGTTCTTCCAAATGTGCAGGAGATGTTGATTCTGAATCTTCGTCGGATTGTTCTTCTTCAATGTGTTGCGGTTCTGAAGAAGGCGCGTCTTCTTCTTCATTCTCCGATTGTTCTAGGGATTCCTTATTGTTCTGATGAACAGTATCCTCCTCAGCAGAATGTTCACTTGAAGCAGATGATGTAGGTATTGAATGTGGTAATGATGAAGGCCCACTGACGGAAGCATACTTTGAGCCAATTGAATATGAGGGAGCGTCATAGGATGTAGTTCCGTGCTTTGGTGCATATATTGCAGAAGGGTAGCCAGGGGAAGTGTTGGCGTATTTTGATAGGCCCAATTCTGATGAAGGGTATTGAGAACTGGGAATAAAGTTTGGTATTTTCGATGGAAAGTTAGGAGTAGAAACATATTTCGATTTATAAAGATTTGAAGGGGGATTATAAGATTCTGGTATATATCGTGGTGTATCAACATTTGAAGGAGGACTGTATGATTCTGGTATATATCGTGGTGTATCAACATTTGAAGGAGGACTGTAAGATTCTGGTATATATCGTGGTGTATCATCATTTGAAGGAGGACTGTAAGATTCTGGTATATACCGTGGTGTATCAACATTTGAAGGAGGACTATAAGATTTTGGTATATATCGCGATGTTTCAACTTTAGAAGGAGGACTATAAGATTCTGGTATATATCGTGGTGCATCAACATTTGAAGGAGGACTATATGACTCCGGAATATATTGCGGTGCGCCTAAATTTACAGGTGGGCCGAAGGAGGGTGAAAATTGATTTGAAGTATCCGAAGCTGGCGAGTTTTGGATAGGTGCCGAAATGTATTTCGACGAATCTGAGTATTTGTAGATTGGTTCTCCAATTTGAGAATACTGACCATTGTAAGGATGAATCTGACTAACGTCAGAATAAACGTTTGGTATTGGTGTGTTGTAATTTTCAAGATCTTTACCACTTGGTTGCGAATTGTGATGAGTCATGAACTGGAAAGAAGTCGGAGCAAAAACGCTTATGACATGTTCCGTATCACGAGTCGGCGGATGGTAGTCGAAGATGGGGAGAAAGTCATCGAAGTTCACAGGTGCCGGTCCGATCTTCTTCGAAGCTTTGATACTTTCACCGGATAATTCTTGACCATGACATGACACCACACACACAAAAATTACATTCGCGAGTACTTTTGGCACAATCATTTCTTTTTATGTTTTTATTTCTCAATGCATTAACAAATCGTTTATTATTTGAAGTAACTAAGTCAAGATCAACTATTTGTTGTTGCTGCTGTCGTTATGAGCGTGAGATTTGCATTGCATATTTCGCAGGTGACGGGAGCCACTGCAGCCCGATGCTGTGATAATAGATACTAAACTGGTCTGAGAAACTATTACCGCTTTTATAGTGATCGAACACAAACGGAAATGTTCCGATCGGAATTAATAACCTTTATGCTCGTTTTTCGGAAGAAAATTCTAGGTTTTCAACGGCCGCAGATTGCCGATGGCGTTGGCCGTCTGAATTGGCATGGGATAAAAAACATCGGAACTAATTCTGATTATTTATGTATTAGTGGGAATGCCATCAGACTGTAACAATATTGTAATTATGTTGGAAAAGTTGAACAAGTGGTATAACCACATATTACATAAAAACACTTTAATTCTTACATAATATTAGTGGACGTTCGTCAACGGACAAAACCTCACGTGTGTTACGTCTGGTGCAGATTGCTAGGAGCTTTTGGATTTAGAAAAACTATAGTCTGTATCCACCATCTCATAATATATTTATGTATAAACTTTCTATATATATTCAGTTATATATGATGATAAACCTTCTTAAAAAATTTTTTCTTTCTCATTCTAATTCTATTTGTTTGAATTTTCTTTTTTTCTCATTATCAGCATTAAGTGCTTACGTACTTTTACACCAGTATTATCTTTTTATTCAAAGCGAACTCTGCAGTATTTTCGACCAATTATCTAATGGGCCTTTTGCGTGCTGTTGCTAGTAGTTAGTCACTTTTCATTATTTCCCTCACATTACAGTCCATAAAATGCGAGAGTGTTAATTAACTGACCTCTCCTGAGTCAATTAGTCCATAATTTCTTCCTTCTTACATTAAATGAATTGCCATTTCGGAGAAGAATGAACACGGAATATTTACCTAAATAGTTCAGTGGCTTACGTACGGGCAAAGAACATTATTCACTATTGAATGTAAACAATATTTTTTTATGACGATATGTACCTAAATATGTATATTGTTGTTATTAAGTAACAGACGATATTTAATACATTTAGCTCCAAATCACTCTATGGATAATAAGCTTATAACTATTCAATAACAAGGAAAGATACAGTCTGAAATAAAATAGATTCTTAGTAGAATGAAGATTCGGACCGTGGTCTAAGTGAACTATTCTGACCAGACGTTTCGTCAGCTACTGCGGCTGACATCCTCAGTGGTAGTGCTGCGTTGACAACGTGAACGTAGATTATATTATCTCGAAGTCTCGACAGCGACTGGGTGACACCCTATAGCCCTAATCTTCATTATGCTATGGATTCCGGCCGTGAAAGCCTCTGTTCTTATATTAAAATAGATCCTATTTTATTTAATTTTAGGTTTAGACCAGAAATAGTATTACCCCTTTTGATTCAATTTACGTTGTAAATTTTTAACAAGAAGGTAATTTGTCTGTATTTAAATCGTGCTCCTGGTGGACAGTCTGCTTCCTCGGAAATGTAACCCCACGTATTGTCCTATTATAAAAACCCACAAGTATTTAACTAAAGGTCAAAATATAGTTCTGTATTAAATAAGTTGTATTTTTCCAAAAATCTGTCCATATTTTAATATCCTCAAGCTTAACCGTCAACAAATTAAACGTAGCATAATGTAAACAATTTGTTGAGTATCTAAAAATTTGTATAGTCACGCCTATGTCTAAGAGTTCATAGAATATATTGCAGGAACTTTTTAGAAGCAAAAATAAAATTACGAATTTGTAATTATTTCCATTTTATTGCCTTCCATAAATTACGCATTTCAAATATTTATCTATTCCATATTGAATCGTTTCCAGCATTGTAGTTAGGTATCTATTTAATTGCCTTTCGTGTTGCGCATTGTTGACAATTTGCAACTTTAACTTTGTAACTTTCTTTGTATTTTTTTGTTAGGTTCCAATTTGCATCGGCCTTTTTTGGCTAATATTCCTTAGAGTGTTAACCAAAATTAATTTCTTTCTTTCACACAACCTTTCTCCGGCATTAATAGCATACTACTCATCTTTAAAGAATGAAGTAATCGTTTTATTTTCTCTACTAATTTTCAGTGCGGTTACTATCTACAAACCAATTCGCAGTGGAATAATTAAACCACAAGTCATTTAGGTACTAAAGTATAGTTGTGATTGTGGGTAATCGTAAAAGCGCAGTCGTTTTTTGTCAATTTATTTGTTCATGAATTATTTAACAAAATGGGTACACCCAAACACGTTTAACGCATACGAGAAGGAACAGAATGGAAGTCTTTTCAACCCCAATAAAACCACTTTCGCTTTAATACGAATGTATCAACCTCAACCTTTGACACATTAAAACAATCAGTAACATTGGAATATGTTTCAGTTCTAGTCCTTTAATGTCCAAATTCATTACCTTTGAAAGTAAAGTGCCGTAAGGTAAGAGTGACACCCAAAGATCTGTGATACATTATGAGTGACTAGATACGTGTCAAAGATCATCGACGACCACATAAAACTAATTTTTTATTCCTTGGGAACAGTACTTTTTTTTGGATGAAAGGTATCCTTTCCTTTTCCATATCCCTGACAATGTGTCACCACTGAACATGGATCGCATCTCTGATCTTATTTGATCTCATCAGCACGCCATAAGCAGCCTGAGGCTTAGTTTCTATGTTTGTTCAAGTTCCGCTTTTACGATTAATTAGAAATTATGAATCAGGGAAGTTAGCTCAAATTCAAAAATTTCAGTTTAGGAATTGTTTGGCGTTTGCAAGCATAGATCTTGGATTCATGAAATCGCATGGCGTCAAGTCCCAAGATCTGGGCTTCCAATATTAACGTCATCAATTCTGGAAGGAAATCACACGACCAGGAAAACGTTGTCTTTTCAAATCGATGGTTTCTCTTTCTGTATGGCATGTACCATCATCTAAACCGAATTTCTTCGGAGTCCATACCATCTAATTCATGCCAGAAAAAGTCAGATGCCATGGTAGGATATTATACCCCATTTACACGCTAAAGAGTAACTCTTTGTGGATGCATCGTTTTTCCACAAATAACACGAGGATTTTCATTGCCCCAGATGCGAGAATTCTGCTTATTAACAAAACTGTTTGGGTTTCCATCACCCAATTAACGGATTGTCTCCGTTTTGTGGCTTGAGTTCCTCAGTTAATTGAACTTTATAAGGGTGAATGTGAAGGTCTTTAGTGAGAATTCGTAGAAACTGTTTCTATTAATATTCAGTTTTTAAGAGTTACGACGTATTGATGTTTCCGGCCGACCTCACAGGATAAGGACCTTTGTTTGCCCAATAGCCAATACGTTTCCTCAAATTTTTAAAATAAACTTCAAATTGTGGACCCAATCATTGATATATGCAAACCAGAATTCCAAGGAATCTTCGAACGGGCTCTGCATCACTCCCCACATTTGTAATATGTTTTATCAATAGTAACACGTTCTCCTTCTGCATGACGACCCATTTTTAATTACCCCAAAAGCATCAAAAGACAACTGTCAAAAATTAGATTGCCAACTTAAACAAATTTAAATGGAGGGAAGTTTAAGTCTGACGCCCTCAACCTCCACCTATTTCTTCACTTTGAAAACTTTTGTAATAATTTTTGCAGAACAAGTATCGTGATACGTAGTTACGAAACACTAAGAGCATTGAATTAGCTAACATGTACATTGTTACCCTCGCTGCTCAATTTGTCCTTCTGAAATATAAGTGAAGTAATTTCTCATAAAACGCTTCTTTGCCAGTCATATAGATACGTGATTTTCATGGAATCCGTTGCTTAACATGTTCTTTCAAATTATAGATATTTTTTACTATTTTGGAATAGCGATATGTGTCACATTCTGTTAGAGGTTTTGTTGTTATTTTTTCTGTCACTGTAAATCAGCTACTCTGCTACATCAATACAGATATTTCTTGAGGAATTGGTACATTTTAAAATTATTTAGGTATGGCACAATGTCATGCCGATTTAACTGGAACTGAATATCCTTTTTGAAAGGTTTTGGTCACAGTCAAAGCAATTACATAAAATTGAGAGTTTATAATAGCCATTCATAATCGTTTTAATGAATATAGTGAAAATAAAATTTGGCATTTCGAAAGCGTAGGTAGATGCCGATGATTTAACAAGTAATAATCAGTATGGAATTAGATCGAAATACGAAATTATCCAGTTTGTTATAGGCAATTATCTATGAAATAATCTCTGTACTACTTCGTGGAGAATTAGGATTCACGTTGAAAAGCCTTACGTCATTTTCTCATTCAGTGCGTGGTTCATAAATAATTTTTTTATATAAAGACTGGTTCATCTCCACTTGAGTATGTTATTTTTGCATAATCTGTAAAACAACGTAAATTACGATGTCACTTTTTATTAGGCCATAAGCCAAAGGGGTGCTTTAGACATCTATTGTGCAAACTCAATAATTTAATTTTATGTCTCCAGGAAACGTTCAATCAGGATAAAAGGTGGTATAAATCACAACGTAGCCGTTTTATTTTCGTGAAAGCCTCTGTCTAATTCATTCAGTATCTTTTGGTTGATGAGGTGTTACCTATAGAAACAAATAGATGGAATTGCCCAAGCGTTTTATACAAATAAATTACCTTTTGGTCTAAACCTCTAAACAGAAATTATTATTTCTATCGTAGACAAAAGACCGTGCTAAAATATTAGAGCAAATTCTTGTAAGTCATTTCGTTAGATCACGGAACCAGGTTTCGTTAAGCATTAGGTATGGCTTTTCAAAGGTATTTTTAAAGTCACGAACGTGACGAATCTATTTCATTGAAACCTCCTTCGGCTGTTATTATGTAATTGATAGATACATGTTGATTTGTAAAAAAATTTAAAGGGTTTTATTTATGTTTAATATCTTGCGTTTTCTCCTTCCTTATACATTTTGGACTAATAAAAGTAACTTTTGTGCCAAGTGAAACTGTAAGTGATTCTCTTGAAATTCCTGATAGGATTAGGGACAAGGCAGGTATAGTTTTCTATTATAATAGGCTTAATTCAATCCTTTAAGAATAGCTTTTAATGTTTGGAGCTTCTAAGTAAGATGTTGAAATCATTTATGTAAATGAGATAGGTGTCATTACTTTGTAGTCGAAATCAGAAGAAGTATGGCAAACTGTAATAGTTGCAATTGATTTTGTTTATCGATATTTCGATTGTGGTGCAATATTTAGGAACGAAAGGGAGATTGGAAGAGCAATTCAAACTGAAATAGACGAAGGGGTTGTTGTCCGATTATATTTATTTATATCCGGTAAGATTTGTAACATCTTTAATAATTCCGCAATGGTCGAATCTGTATTGAACCAAATGTTTTCCGAATTCTAGATTTAGTTTTACTCCACATTCTCGATTCTCTTCAGGTTGGTAATAGACGAAAGAGGTTATGTTGATACAGGACAAAAAATGGAACTCGCCTTGAAGAAGGGCATGAATGTTAGATAGATAGGAGTGTCTGCTTTTAGTAAGAAAATTTTGGACTCTCACTTTTATCAAAATAAAGAAAAGATGTATTGCATTAACCCCACGATGTAATAAACTAATAATTCTCTTTCCAAAGAATAAAAGTATGATGAGTACCTACATGCAGTTTGTGTTTCTATTGCTTGAGGAGAAATTGTTGGAAATAGGGAATTGAGACAAACTGAAGAACAAAACTATTACTGTCTTTATTAACCAAAAGTATATATGACAATGTAAATAATTCACATTGTGTTTTTAAACTTAAGTATTAACATTCACGTAGGTAAATAGAACTTTTTTATGCGAAATAGAGAGGTGCATCAAATTCTTCGATTCAGTATTCGTCCTTGAAAGGATGATGAGGGTGTGTTTTAGACCTGCAAAGTAAAATATACAATTTATTAGAACGAATACGTGTTCAGTACTTATAAAGAATCAATGTTACGTGGGTTTTATTACATTATCGCCTTTCTGTACGCATCCATTGAATGTGTCTCTTCTCTATCAACATGTGGAAGTTCTGGGTAAATCCTTTATTTATTGTTTATTAAAATCTTTTTTCTTTTTAATATCAAGGGGCCTTTGAACGCTAAGTGATAGCCAGTTTAGGTAACCCTGATTTGAACTTTATTTATTTCAATATTGGGTAAGATGAAATTTCATATCAGGGTAATCTGAACTAATCATTAGCCAACCTTCAAGAGGTCCAAAACATCAAAAAGGAATTATTCGAAAATTACTATCCCAAACACACAATATGTTAACACACCCCTAATTAATAGAATACGTTGTTATGATTAATACTTTTCATAAATTATCTTTATGAGCAAGAAAGATTCGCCATCTATAAATATATGCTACTAACTGCAGATTGAAGCCTTACAGTCAATAATTTGTTAGGAACTGTATGTAGAAGAATCAAAATGTTCAAACCTCGATAAATTGCTAACGAAAAAATTACGATTAGTGATACTTCCTTAAATGATCGCATCGACTGAAACAAATTTGTCGAGTTTGATTAAACATTTAGTAAAACTGCGTTTGTTTCTATTCGACTTTAATCTTTTTTAAACAACCATGCAGTTTCACAATAATTGTACCACAAATACGCAATCAATGTTATAAGTAGAAACCCTTTGTATTAGCTTTGTCAGGCTTCACGTATTACTACGAGTACATGTAGATGGCGCAATCAGTATCATTCACTTACATTCACGATACTAAAAATTACCAAATGGATTTCGCACATAGTAACATCGATAACTTGCCACAACCAAGGACAAATGTTTATTAATTTGTTGTTATACATATTAATTCAGCTGTATTCCAAAATTTTAAATTGCTTGATGCTGATTCTTTCTATTTTCAATTTATAATTAGCTTTAGCAATGTTAATTCAATAATGCAAATCAAAGCAAAATATTTTGGATGCGAATTAGGCAGAGACTTTTCTTAATGTATAGAGATGAGGGTGTAGTAAGTATTATAAAAATATGTTTTCCGAGGTCGCAACACCCTTCCCACTTAGGCGCCATTTTGAACAAGGGGTGCAGATAATATGTTTATAACATACACTTACCATTCCATTGCATATATTCTACCGTTACAATCAAATGACTCGATATACTTCATCTCTACTGAAGACAGTTGAAAATCAAAGACATCAATGTTCTCCTGAATCCTTTTCTTGTTTACTGACTTTGGGACGGTTATTAGACCTCTTTGGGTTAGCCATCTAAGTACTACTTGTGCAGGGGATTTCTTATACTTGTCGCCAATAGCTTTCAGTTTAGGGTCATCCAGTAACTTTGGATCGCCTGGTTTTGCCCATGGGTTATCCGGGGATCCAAGTGGACTGTATGCGGTAATTGTAATTCCTTTTGATTTGCAAAATTCAGCAAGTTTCTTTTGATTCAAATATGGGTGGCATTCAACCTTCGTAGAAATAAAAAAGTGAATCAAATTCAATAAGATCTTAAATACTTTGTGTAATTTTTAAAGAGTGACATGTAAAAACAACACATTACAAATTATTTACTTAGAAAGACAACAGTTTCCATTTCAAACATTCATTCCATTGAAGCTCAATAAATAAAAGATAACATCAGTTTTTATGGTTTCCTATTAGAACAAAAGCATATCTTATCAACACAACAAATGACAAATACATGTGCTATAATCCATAGCTTTTATTTTTGATACAAGTGGGTATCAAAATAGAAATGCGAATTTAGGGTACCTAGAAAATATGGAAACGAAAAATGAAAAGTAACGCCAAAAACGTATGAGTAACTAAAATACTCCATATTCTTCCCATTAAAACACAATCCGATTAACAATAACAACACCCAACAACACTCCACTAAAAATGGATAAATCCGATACAGCTATTGCAAAGAAAGCAAACTACCAAAGTACAAAATAAATAAAGAACAGGTGGAATGAAATTAATTAGTGGTTATGCTAGATTAAGTTACTTATTGTTAGTTAGGTCAGTAGGATTCAAATACTGAACTTTTGAATTACGTAATGACCACGTATTATAAAATGCCGGCCATTTTTTTTATTTAAATATCAAAAACAATCCGACATGAACACTGACCAAACAATACTTAACAAAAACAAAATTATTGGATGTTTCATTCCCATCAGCTACTAATGTTGGTAAGCGGGCCGTCCTTCCAGACTACACCGGAGGGTAGGGCAGAAAGCCCTCCTCATCCTCCTGTTAAGAATCGTGGGAATGGGTAGATGGTGGTTGGGGTGAGAAATATGAGGCGGAAAAAATAAAGACAGAAGAAAGTGACAGATTATCTGTGGAATATTACTGCCCCAGAATTTACCTAAGTGATCCAAGGAAACCACATAAGAACTTGGACTAGGACAGACGATCCCGAAATCAAATACCGAATGCTAAGAGATGGTCTAAACATCTAGGCCATGCCATTCGGTGACCAAAGGATACTGACCAGCAAATTCCAATTCACATTAAATTTTTATTGGAAAGAAATAGTGATAGACGTTACATAAAACAGAATCTTTTTATTACTTACTTGATTTGTAACTGGTACAACTGTAGTCAATTCTAGGAGCCTTTCTATCTGTCTTTTATTAAAGTTGGATATTCCGATTGACTTGGTGAGACCTTTCTTGTAAACTTCCTCCATTGCTTTCCACGTATCTACATAATCAACACCTTCCGGAATGATCTGACCATCTTCTCCTATTGCTAATACTTCCTTCCCTGGCTGAAATGCATTGATAATTTACGTGCCAATTAAATCGATAAATGAGAAATGAAATGGTGACGATGAGGATCAATTAATGCACCATACAAATGTGTTTATGTTTTTAGTTGGTGGCGGATATGAAGGTGCAGGGGTTAAACTAAAAATTGGAAATGGGGTAAATGATAAGATGATCTTCAGACGTGTGTAAATCTGTACGTAAATAAACGGTTAGTGGACGCGTAGATGATTCGACCGTTTGGGTTGGGGAAGAAGGACGTCGGATGACTCCATTCTGAAGATTTAAAAGTGAAGATTTTTTAGATTCAAATTTTTTCCACAGTCTCGACATTTCAACTATTAAAACAGAGTCATCCAATAGCTTTCTATCTAAATTCACCCTTCGTTAGATGGTCTCACCATTTATACGTTAACTTTTTATTTATTTGGCTTAGTCCAATTGGATATGTTATGGTGTAGATTATGTGAGGACTGAGAAAGAGATCTAACCCCTACTTCTCCAAAAAAATGTACTTATGTAATTAAATGCATTAAATGATTCATACTTTAAAATCGAAGGGAGTATGGATCAAATATAGATCCAAATAATCTAATCCCAAAGCGGTTAACGACTCTTTAAGTGCTGGTTCAACGGCTTCTGGTTTATGGAAAGTACACCACAATTTGCTGACAATAAAGAGGTCTTCCCTTTTGACAACTTTCTCATCAATTTTTGCCTTGATCGCCTCGCCAACTTCCTTCTCGTTTTCGTAAGCCCATGCGCAATCAATATGTCTGTAACCGGCATCAATTGCATCCTTTACAGCTTGTGTTACCTCTCCTGGTTTAGACTAAAATGGGTAACGAAAAACTGCGTGAGTTTTGACATTAAATGTATAAAAATACAGAGAAAATGGTCAATCAAAGAACTAACCATGGTAGCAAAGGAAACTCAAAAGCTGTAGTCATAATCTTTATTAGTGTATATATTCTTTAAACTGTATTTTTGAATGATTAACTGTCCAAACAAATTCGCCAAGGATTTCATTTCTGTTAAATAATGTCACCTTGTTTCGTAATTAATGTAAGTGGCAAATAAATTTACATTCTTTGTTACTAAATACAATTATCAACAACTATAAATTTAAATTTTGGTGAAAACATTATACTCTACTTACTTTCCATGTGCCTAGCCCTATAATTGGAAATTCCAAACCGTTGTTCAGTTTCACCTTTGGTACTTGGTTCGGGTTAACCATTGTAACAACTTTTTCTATACGACAAGGAAAACACGTCGAAACGCGAATATAATCTGAAGGCTACTAAAAATATAGCATAGCAATTAGCTTATGTAACTGCTTCTACCGTATATATGCTTATATACATTCCATATACAGTTTTATTGATGAGCCAATGACAGTTAAGTGTAGATATTAACATCGACTATAATTTGATATCAAAACGATAGGTGTTTTAAATTCTGCGTTATATATATTTTTTAAATCACTGACTTTTTTCTTAAGAAATAATTATTCGTTGTTTACAAGTTGGTTGAAAAAAACGGAAGTCTGAGTATGTAAATTTATCAATCCTATTTATTACCATGAATGAATGCAGGCAAAAATATCTAATATGTTAGGGACCGTCCGTCCTATCAAACCAATCATACCAAAATATGGTTGCTTGAGGATTCTCCAAGTTTCGGTAAATGTCTAGATGATGGGTGGGATAGAAAGAAGAGGTCTCCCCCTCCACTGTACCATAAAAAGTTCGTGGCGGTCTCACCCTCATAAAAAGTTATAGGGGTTTAAAGTTAATAAATATGCCAATTTTTTTACATTTCTAGGCATGTAAATATCTATATAGTCATTCTTAAACAATATCCAAAGGTAAAACTAATGAAAAATACATAAAAATATTGAGAAAGTTATATAAAACATTATTTATCAATAGGGTAGGTTAGATTAGGTTAGGTTAGGTTATCGGGCTTTGTTCAAGTGACCACCCTCTTTCGATCCCCCACCTCCACCCGCTTAAAAATATTTTTTTCATCGAATTTTACTTAAATTACTATAAATTGGCTATATATTATAACACATGACAGTGTTAGAAGTTAGAAGGTAAACAATGTTATACTGGATTGAAACATCCATGAATTCACATCGGGTATTAGCAGAAGGGTAAATCAAAAGGACTAATAAGAATTTGGAATAAACCCATAGTTTTGCCGCCAATTTTGACAAATGTAAGACACATAGGTTTATTTGATTTTTCGTATTTAACATACCCTATTCCTTTTAACTCTCAGTAGATATTTTACTTGTTGATCGTAAGCAAATAAAGGGAAAGTGATTTATAATGTTTCAGTAATCTCTAAAATTGTTATTCACTGATTAGGTCCTTATCAAGAATACATAGAACTAAAATAATACTTTTATAGATAGCGCTATTTAAACTTTTCTGAAACATGGCAAAACTTTTTTGCTATTTAAGCTTTTAGGTAGGTATCTATTTTGAAAAGGCTTCATAAGAAACTCACAGGTGACATAACTAATTTTATATTGCGGTAAAGGTCTAGATGATGGCCCCTACCCCCGAAGGAGGTGGCGGTAGGGGGGATCGAAAGAGAGTGGTCACATGAGTAAAACCCCATTAAAAATTTGCGACGGTATCACCCCATAAAAAGTTATGGGGTTGAAAGTTGATTATTTTGACAATTTTCATATACTATAATTCAAATAAAATTCAGTAAAAAAAATATTTTCAAGCGGTTGGAGGTGGGGGATCGCAAGAGGGTGGTCACTTAGACAAAACCCGATAACCTAACCTAATCTACCCTATTGATAAAGATATTTAAATAATGTTTTATATAACTTTATCAATATTTTTATGTATTTTTCATTAGTTTTACCTTTGAATATTGTTTAAGAATGACTATATAAATATTTACATGCCTAGAAATGTATAAAAATTGGCATATTTATTATCTTTGAACCCTTATAGCTTTTTATGGGGTGAGACCGCCACGAACTTTTTATGATACAGTGGTGGGGGAGACCTCCTCTTTCGACCCCCCCGCACCCCAACCCCCGAAGACCTTTGCCTATAATGCTTGTTATTAATCAGTAGATACTATGATTCCAAAAATGATGTTTTACTGAATTCTTCTTCTGTTGTTTACTCTGAACTAATTTCTTTGAGTTTAGAATTAAAATACTGTACAAACATTTAATATATTAGCCTATTATCAACATGTGTCTTATCTGACCTAAAATAGAACTTCAGGATTACAACGTACGGACTCGATATAATATAAAGGACACTCTCAAATCAAGATTTTTCAGTCCATCCTTTATTAAAAAATTTCTAGCACATGGATATATGTATTTTAATATTCAACCAACCGATTTATGTACTTAAACAATTTTCAATTCAATTAAGCACATTAATTAGTTCTTGGTTAGTAATTAATCGAAAATAGTAGACGTAAGTTAATATAGGTACCTGTAATTATAAGATGTGACAATCTCCGTTGAAAATGGTCACAAGGCAAGACGTGTCTTGCGTCCACAAATAAATTGGTTTTGTTATATTAAATCAAAATCTAGACGTGTCTTTTATTATGCAATAATTTTATTTATTGTATTTACCTACTGATATAAGTTAGGTATATAAATATTGGTTGCAAGGACGGCGTTTAATAAAATCTTTGTTTTTTCGGCAGAATTTGTATTTTATTTAGATGACTCATATTCGGCTTTATCAAAATAGAACCAATACTTGTATCTACTTACGGAAATCAATACTATAATCAATCATTCTTTTGGATATTGTGACTTGCAAAATCGCTGAGAGGATTTCATAATATTACACACATCTATATGTAATTGTCATTCGCAATCTGTTTGTCTTTCATTATCTTTAGAGGACACCTGGAAATCAAGGTCGCTAGTCATCGTTAATATACTCGTTCGTGTAGTAGATTTTTCAACTAGTGGCGCTCGAGGCGAATTTTGAATGTATCGCCCTATCTAATCCAATGTAAGAATGTACCGAAGGAACACGCGGATCCAGGGGATGATAAAAGGAGCAATTACCTCCCCACTGACTCATATTTATGCAAAATTTTTAGACAGTTTTGCCTACTAGCTTCTCATTAACAAAATAGATATAAGTAGGTAGTCAGCACTTTTGTTAAGAGAACAACTATGGAAAGTGCTACAGTGCAAATCTACATGACAATTCAGTTATCTTAAAATTGAAAATAATAGTAATAAAGGTCCTTTGGGGCATTTACATTTGGTATCAACTAAAAGGTCGTTTCCATCCTTTACATCTGCTCAAAAAATTCAAAGGGACCAGGAGTAGGTAATTAAACAATATTTAAGCATTACAGTTAGCTAAATGTTTGCTTTGAAACTACACGAATTACAGATGTGGATTCATTGTTGCTTTTAATAAAATACATTAGAATAATATATTACTCAGTAAGGTAACAAAGTACTGCATCCCTTCCCGTACCCTTAAACTCCTAGAAGCCAGGAGCCATACCTTATTCCCGAACCCACGAATATGTATACGATTTTTCATCATACTGCTACCGAAAGTACCGATGATTTTCCTTGATTTCAGTAGTGATAAGCAAAATTGGTCCTAGTCTTGCAGCGTTGATCTTGGTTGAAAGACTAAAACCAAGATAGAATCAACAAGACCAAGGTTTATACCATGACAGAATGAACAAGACCAAAACTAAAAGCAAGACCGAATATGTAAGACCAAGGCCAAAAAGGGAAAACTAAACGAAAAATTACTTCCTGTGGATTTGTCCTCGGGGTAACTGCTCTTTCTTCCTGGATAATACATGTTTGAAATACAGACACAAACTGTTTCTTTTCGATATTTTTCACTTCTTTCAAGTAGTATCTTATACTATTTTGTTCGCTAAAAGGTCAATTAATGCATTGGAGGAAGGTTAAGTTTTCGAATTTTCATAACTCCTACAACTACTCGACACTATTTTCTTTAAAAGTCATGACAAGCTCGCATGTATGACAGGAAATTTTAGAATTTAAGACAATTATTGTGTCGGTAAATAGAAAAATTTGTGCGTCAAAGAGTTATTAAAAAAACAACACCAATACAACACGCAAGACCAAGGCCAACACCGAGACTATATCAGCAAGGGCAAGACCAAGACCAATACCAAGTCTGGGACAACTTTGGCCTTGGTCTAGCTTTGTTCATAACTAGATTTCCTCAGAAGGAATGTTCTGCTGTCGGTCCCTTAATTTATAGGAAAACTTCGTACTTATCTTCGGTAAGGGAATGGCAAAAAACATTTGCTGGAGTTCTCTAGGGCAAAAGAAACTTACAAGTGGTATAATTTTCTATTCCCTAATTTTAAAATCTCCTCAGAACATTACAAAAACTCTAAAAAACAGAGGATCATCCCCCGTCAAGTGCATCGTCTTCATTATTGCAGCAGTTTTATTTATTTGATCCTAAGTAGTGTTGCCCAAATTCAGTCTTGGTCTTGCAGTCTTGGTCTTGTTCTTGCGTTTTTGCAAGACCAAGACCAAGAACAAGACCGCGTATTTTTAGCAAGACCAAGACCAAGACTGACCGTGCAAGACTTGAGCAAGAACAAGACATAGCCTGCAAGACTCTTGCGTCTTGCAGCTAGGACTTAGCGCTATTTCACTGAGTAGTTAGGTGTAACAGTTCGGTGTATAGGTAGGTACGCTTAGGAATTCTATGAGACGCAAAAAACTGTATCAAAGAATATGAAAAACTGGACCTATGCGCATTACGACTAATACCATAAACATAGCGAATAAAAAAATTATTAAAATCAAACTGAGTGCATGCATAGTTATGTTTTAACCATCGGCACTTTGATAATGCGGCATCAAAGGTTTTGTACTTACTTCTCAAAGAAATTTGCCGCTTTTCGGAAGTACATGGTTATGATACACGCGCCGGCGGCTTCTTTTGAAATCTAAAACAATCGTTGCCGCCACGCCGAAATCATAACATTTGACACTATTTGATTGCCGCCATAGGGTGTAGGTATACTCATTTTATCGAAAATGGCCCGTGATTTTCTCTCAATACCTGCAACTTCAGTACCTGCTGAGAGGTTATTTTCTAAAGCATCATTAGTAATTAGAAAACATAGAAATAGGTTAAGTGATGAGTCAGCCAGATGGTTACTTTGTATTAATTCTTGGTCAAAAAAATTGATATAAAGTATCATAACCTAATGATAAAGCTGTTGATTTGTGTTGTATTTTATTTTTTATTCAAATAAATGATAAATCGTAAAACTCTTTTATTAAATTTCTTATAAGTTGAGGGTTCAATCTCTTTTTAGACAGATAAGTATTGTTCTTTAAAATACAGTCAAGTTATTGTAATTTGTTTTTTTACATGTTTTAGCAAAGGTAAGCTTATAAATCATAAATGTTTATTAAGAAACAGTTACTTCCATGGAAAACGACATATAGGTCAGTTGATTTTTCGAATTTCTTATCAAATCTTCAGTTATTTATTAATCTGCTTGATCTTTACTATGGCTATATTCATTCAAGCTCACAATGTTCCAATTCTAATACGTTTTTCTAGGATTTAAAGTAAACTTTAATAAATAGTAATAGACTAATAGGTAATTGCAAGACTTGCAAGACTCTTGCTGCAAGACCAAGACCAAGACCAAGACTGGGAGCGCAAGACCAAGACCAAGACCAAGACCAAGACCAAGACCAGGTGTATTGGCGCAAGACCAAGACCAAGACTGGCTAAGTCTCGTCTTGTTCTTGCGTTTGGGCAACACTAATCCTAAGTAAAATAAACATTCTAATAAATGCGAAGTCGTCTAATTAAATGTGTAACATACAGTATATACGTACATATGTATGTTAGGAATTAGTTTCTTTGTTCTCGTCTATCGTTTATTACTCAGAGGTCGGCATGACAGATAGCCGGCCATCGTGGCTCGACTTCGAGAGCCCATTGTGTCGTTTGCATTACAATCGTTGTTATAAACGGTACGGTGTATTTGTAAAGAGTGTAGTTAAAGTTATTACTTTTCGTATCACGATATTAACAATAAGTGACGTTAAAACGATGGATTACCGTAAAATGTGAGTTAAATGGGACTGAAATTCTCATCATATTCAACGAAAAATTTCCAGCACAGAAGGTAGGTGTTTGTCATCATTTCATCGTTTTGTTCAAAGTTATAAACATAAACATTTATGAACCAAACCAAAGTTGTACTTGTTAATACATAGGGTGAAATGAAAGCACTCTGTAGGTATTACCAAAGGACAATTACTGATTTTTCTAGTCATCTAATCAGACTACAGTTTTTTATATTTTATGGTCGCCATTAGATATATTTTTATGTGCCTGGTGCTGAGGTCATTCCAGCAGAAACGTTAATCCCATCAGAATGTGAATAAATTAGAAAACTCGAAGCTCTTTTCTGACAAAGGGTAAGACGCCATAAAAAATTATGGCTGAGTGAAGATCCAAAGTAGCCTCAATCCATGGTCCTTTTTCCATAGCATTACATCTTCAATGGAAGTGTGATTGTTAACCATTTAGATGACAGCGGTTTTACCACCATTTTTAAATAAAACTTTATATTAATTTATTTATTTATATTAATAGATTTAACATACCAACGTCTAGGATGGCTGCTAGCAGACGCTAAAGTTTGGACAAATTTTGTTGCTTTCAGAACAGATAACACTGTAACATGGAAACGATGCTTTCTCCAACAAATATGTTTTAAATTTCTGAATTGTTTACGGCGATGAGAGGCATTTAAGTATAAACCATTATGAGAATCAGAAATCTACCTTCAAAGTTTGCTTAATAAATACATATTGGTGTGGCACCGCGGTTATCCAAATGATCACTTTAATGTTGCATGTAACGCTATAGAAAAATGACCTTATCCAATATCATCATCATAAGGTCGTCAGTCCTAAGACTGATTGGACACGCACCTCCACTCTTTTCTATGTTGAGCTAATATTTGCATTTCCCCAAAAGTAAAACAACCCAAATCCTTAACTATCTGCAAACAGTAATCTAATCTAGGTCTAGGTCTACCTCTACCCCTGCTAACTTCCGTTTCTGCCTCTAATATGTCTCTGACTAGACCTTCATGCCTGAGAAGGTGTCCTAACAACCTATCTCGCCAATTTCTTATTGACTTCCATAGTATCCTGTGTTCTCCTATTCTTTCTAATACCTTTTCATTTCTAATCTTCTCTATCCACGGTATCCTCATCATTCGCTTGCAACATCACATTTCGATCGCTTGTAACATTTTATTTTCCGCCTCGCCCATCGTCCATGTTTCGCAGCCGTACAGCGCTGCGCTCCAAACACACACCTTCAACAATCTTTTTCTAAATTAACCGTTCGCGAGCATAGAAGTTACTTCTTTTTATTGAAGGCAACTCGACCCTACGCTATCCTCTGCTTTATATCCCTACTACTGTTTCCGTCCTGACTTATCTGACTTCCTAGATACCTAAAATCAGCCACTTCTATTAATTTTTCGTCTCCTATCTTTATATTCGCTCTTTCTCTACTTTTTCTTTCTTTGCATACCAGTATTTTTGTTTTATATTTATTTATTTTCATACTAAACTGTTTTATCAATACCGCTTCCATTTTATGTAAAGCTATCTTAGACTCCTTCTTATCCAACATTACACAAAATTGTAGCACAACTGTAGCGCACCAGGTACATCATCATGGGCTATTGATTGACCTCTCTTATTCCTACTTTCGTTCAGCCACAATTACTTGTGACGTCTCTCAAAATTTAAAAAGTTGAGTATGCGTTTTTTTGGTTTAATCAATATCTTCACAGTTCTGGAACTATCTGCTCCTACCACACGTAAATTAATTCGTTGCGTGTAGACTTCATTTACTAATATTAGTACATAAATTAGTTGCCTTTAAATAAAAAAAAAAAAAACTTCATATATCAATTTAATTTTTATTATCCAACTCAACACGTTATAATTTTTTTAACTTACTTAAGTAGATAGTAACATTTAAGTAAACATGATTTTGTTACGCTTTTTTTCTTATAATACTGCTTATACAATTTAGTATTCATCGTTGTAAGGGTAGTAGGGGTGCTTTTTAGCCCTGCAATATAAACAATTCTATTAGGACAAAGATGTGTTGAATGTGATAGAGTCATTTTTTAAGTTTAATTTAGGTACTTTAGGTACATAATATGCAAAATAATTAATATATAAATGACAGGAAAATAGCCATTTCTTGGTCCCTTTTTCTACTTCTACTTTCCCTGACTTACCCCATGCGAATATCAAACGATTTGATTTTTATTTTACATTTTTGTTAATATATATTTTGAGCACTTACCATTCTAAAGCGAACATTCTACCGTTGCAATCCATAGAGTCGATCTGTTTAATATCATCTGAAGTAAGTTGGAAATCAAATATGTCAATGTTCTCGTTAATCCTGTTCTTATTTAGCGACTTTGGGATGGCTATTATGCCTCTTTGGATATGCCATCTGAGTACTACTTGAGCAGGGGTTTTATTATGTTTCTGGGCTATAGCTTTAATTTTAGCGTCCTCCAATACTTTTGGAGTGTTTGGCTTTGCATAATTACTACCCGGGGCTCCAAGTGTACTGTGAGCGGTAATTGTAATTCCTTTTGATTTGCAAAATTCAAAGAGTTTCTTTTGACTCAAATAGGGATGGCATTCAACCTTAAAAGAAATAGAATAGAAAGAAATTCATTAAGCCTTTGATAATAGACAAGCTTTTTCCATCTTCCATACTGTTCATAATTTAAGATACAACGCATACGAATGAGAAGAACATATTTTTAAAATGTAGTCAGTAAAATATTTGAAGATTTAAATGAAATTGGTAAAACTTAAGGATTTAAATTATTGGTAAAGGCTTTCGTGGCCAGTTCGTAAACTGGCGCTGTCCTGATTCGGCTCAAATGCCATCGTCGGTTGTAGTGCCATCCAGTCTACATCCAACATCAGAAGGACCTCTGAAGAAGCTCTCTACTCGCTAGGTAAACGCTAGGAAGCAACTCCAGCCGACGACGGCCTTTAGACCGTAATCGAGACAGCATCAATTATTATTCTTGGAAAGAAATACTAATAGATATTACATACAAAAATTGCATTCATCACTCACTTGATTTGTGACTGGTACAACTTTAGTCATTACAAGAAGCCTTTCGATCTGTCGCCTATTAAAATTAGATACTCCAATTGATTTGACGAGTCCTTTTTTGTAACATTCCGCCATTGCTTTCCACGTATCCACATAGTCAGCATCTCCTGGAATCACTTGACCATTTTCGTCTATTGGGAAAATATTATCGCCTGGCTGCAATGCATTGTTTATATGTCATTTAATCGGTAAAATATCGATAGCATCGTATATGTTCTTAGTTTAGAGGATGTATGTATAAGAACTGTATATCTCAAATCTCTAGATTTGACGATGGAATTTATTATGACTTGGATAGTTCTGCAAGTAATTAACTTCCAATTTAGCTACTATGAGAGACGAGGATGTCTTCCTTTACAAAATGATGCTATTTTTTAATTTCCCAAAATATAATGATTTAAAGTCTCGGTTTGTTGGTCTATACTTGGCAGTTCATGACCCATACCCCATTTTTGACTGATTTGCTACCCATCAAAACAAACACCTTTTCTTAATGTTTCGTGAAATAATTGATTTTTTAATTAATTTTGTACAGAAACCCTATCTTTTGGTGCTCGATATAAGTTAACTCATAAACCTATAGAACTGGATTGAATCATCTGTGCGTTACCAGTATGTGAAATATCTACCATTACCAAAGATTGGCTTACTGTTCCCGGATGTATTGTTTCAAAAAGAGATAGACATTGATAGTACGATCGCACTGTCTTTATTTTGATCGGGCACAGAGGATGCGTAGGTCCAATTCTATATGCTTATGATCAAACTTGATTGTGAGAAAATGCCCTCCATTCTTTTAGTTACCCTTAGTAATGATTCGAGGGGTGCTACTTCTCGTTGACTAACAATCTGACATTATAATGCTACTTTTAGAAAAACTGTGCATGTTTAACCAAATGCATTAAATGATAGTGTATCTGTTCGTACTTTAAAATCCAAAGCCTGATGCATCAAATATAGATCCAAATAGTCCACTCC